AAAAAAAAAAAAAAAAAAAAAATCGCTGTACGGAAGAATAGGCGAACGGAACACGCGGGCTGGTTTCACGGTGCATTTATTCGAACGCGGGACTGATGATCGATCGGCGCTTATAATCATAATACGTACTTAGCTGCGAACGTTGAGCGGCTTTGGCCGCTCGCATAAAATACTCGCAGCCACGGATAAAATACTCGTGGCAATCGGACGTCGTCGTACATCGGTACGTACAATGGCGAGTGCCTGTGCAACGCGAGAATCCCTGTGCAAACGTCTAATTAAACGAGAGCGAGATCAATTTACCTGCGAGCTCGCGATCGTCTTTCTCGCGCTGAACGAGTCTCGTCGAAGAGAGAAAAGAAGAAGAGAGAAAAAAAAAAGGAAAAAATAGACGGAGAAGCTGCGTTGATTACACGCTTTTACCCTGGCAATTTACCCTGTCGAGAAACAGAGTTAAAGAGGCTAAAATCTTAATTTTTTTCCACGCAACGCAATTTTACACGGTTATTGTTCGCCGCCGTGGAGAAAAAGATTCATCGGCAGCGATGGCCAGTGCTACGATCGCCGACGTAGCTGGAATTAAGTCGGCGACCGTTCTCAAGGAAGTCGTAGGTACGTAAGGGCGCGAAGAGAGTACATATATTTTCCGAGGTGAGGATGCAAGAAAAGTTCGTTGCCAAGAGGTGGAGCCTGCTCATCGAATATTCATCGAGCGAGGAAAGAAATTTCAAAGACCGTCCATCCAATCCTGAAGATCTTGCATCATTATTTCTTTTTCCTCTCGTTTCCTTCCATAGACTGAGTTCTTCCTCTTGGTTCTCTCTCTCTCTCTCTCTCTCTCTCTCTCTCTCTCTTTTTCCCGGGCCGCGAGCCTTTCGACGTAATTGCGTCGCGTTTATTAAAATTATAACGCGCCTTAAGGGGGCTGGTTGGACGCTATATCGCAGCAAGTATCGTAAATAATGTTGGAGCAAAGCGAATCGTAACTCGCAGTGATACGAGAGTGCCGGAGCATTGATGCAGCATGCCTAATTATAGACGATACGATCGATTGGCGTCGGTGCAGCTACGGCAGAGCCGGAGCCCGCTCTCTCGCACGTAGCGGAGGCGCGCACACACGTCAACATGCGCCGGATACGTACTCGCGCGTACATGTACACGGTTAGCCGACGAATACGATCGGATTACCCAGACGAATAATAGAGGAGCCGTGGAAAAGTGTATACGTCGACGTTCGTCGAGCAGGCAATAGCGAGATTCTTTTTCCTTTTTTCTCTTTTTCTCCTTTTTTCGGCGGTCCGTGAACTCCGGTGAACATACTTTCATTATCTGGATAGTCGAACAACCGCTCGCGATCGAGCTTCAGCCTCGTGTTGGATTGCATGCGCCGCGATTTTCCCGGAATTTCCTCTGAAAACCGCTCGCGATCGACGCCGCGCCTCGGGACGGCCTCCTTCGCGATTTCGTACCGTTTTAATCGCGCACCCCTTGTTCGCTGCAAATTACCCTCCCCGACGGTGATGATGAAAGTTCTCGCCGACGAAGAAATCGTGCAACAGCTTCGGTTCCGTGCAAATGGGTCGCGTAATCGTATTACATTCGCTGCTTTATTTAAAGACCGGTGAAAATAACGTTGCATCGTTGGATCACGAGCCTTTTCAACCTTTCGAGGATATTGCTCTTAGTTTTTTCTTCTTCTTCTTCTTCTTCTTCTTCTTCTTCTTCTTTTTCTTCTGTAATTCTGCTTATCGCCGAGCACGTGGTACTTTAGGCAAATTGGCGAAAAATGTGTATTACCCTCTTTCACGACGACGTGGAACGCTGGCGAGTTGCTGCGTGCTGGCGAATAGAAATTACTAATTCCGGGATGATCTATCGCCATAAAAGTCACGGGGGCAATTGGATCTTTTGAATAAACCAGGGGATTACTTCGCAGGAGGATATCAATTTATATTTTCTATATGAGAAACGTTCATCTTTATTTTTCTCTCTCTCTACCTCATCGTTCGATAATTTTCGCGAGTCTTCGTGCATCTTTAAAGCGTAAAAAAAAAAAAATTTGTACAACAGATGGCAGTAAATCTCTTCCTCGATCATATCCCCCGAGAATAAAAATGTCGTCGCGTCGATCTTCGATTACAAAAAGAAGACAGAAATTTCGACGCTTACCTGTTCAGCACGTACAACCTGCTACTCAATATAGATATAATGCCGAGAACACTAGCTAGAAGGTAGAAATCCAGCCACGAAATCCCAGATTAGCGTCGATTACGCGAAACTGCGGAGTAGCGTTTCTGATCGGAAACGTTCGGTATCAGTGTCGAGGTAGGTTGCCCCGACGGCACGAGATTTCTAATTAAAACCGATTAGATCGATCTCCATCGCGCGGCTGGATCGTCGCTGCGAACTTGAACGCTTTCTCGAGATCGTTCGAGGAGTGAGCAGTCCCACCTCCAAAAAAAAGAAAAAGAAAAAAAAAAGGAGAAGAAGAAAAAGAGGAGAAGAAACCAGTCAACTGCGGGGAAGAGAAAAAAGAAAGAGGAAACGGAAGAAAGGTGGGAGGAGGGTGGTGACACGGTGGTGTGCATACATAGATAGATGGCCCGGCAGGTCGGCCAGAGACGAGGAGAGGTTTTCAATCAAGTCGCCTGCAGGCTGAATTAATTCCGAGGAAAATTCGAAAGTTTGGAAAGCGAGAAGAGCCGCGGATGAAGCTCGCGGTCGCCCGGAAGCTACTTGGAAGCCGGGTGGATCCGAGCTACTTGCTGGCCCGTTAGGAACCCGATCACGAGGATCGACCGTAGCCGAATTATTGAATAAAATATATGACGGACTCCGTTATAATGAAATAACTTCCGATATGCGGCCCGCTTTGCCCCTCTCCACCGCTCGACTGTGTTCAATCTCTCTCTCTCTCTCCTGCCTTCCCCCGACTTCTGACGCATTCTTCCTCCGCTCGGTCGATAAGCTCCACTTGGAAAATCCGACGGATCGCTGTTCCGCGCTGGAACGAGCCAACTGCTTTAAATTAATGATCGAGAGAGTGGTAAAGTAGGTGGTAACTGGCATTCGTTAGGGAAGAGGAATGAGGTGGCAGTTTGTGGCAGTTTAAAACAACGAACTATCATTTTTCGGAGGCGCACCGTTGCGATTGATACAGTGCCGGAAAGCTGACCGAGTAACGTATGTGTATATGTAAACAGTGTGCCACATTAAGCCGTGGAACGCCACAATTTGGGGCTGTGAATTCTCGTGAACGGACAAGTCGAGTAGAATTCGTTTTTCCAATTTGGTTTCAAGGAAGTTAATTGCGAATACTCGTACGATAGGAATGTGCACATTTGTGCACAATTGATAAATCTCGTTACAAATTGCCGCGAGTGTCCCCGGTCTAATTATGTAGTTAAATTAATTTTCGTATGTAGTGAAATTAAATTTCTTTTGTCGCAACATCATTTTTCACACGCGAGTATTCCGTTTTATTGTCCGTTCTGCATTCACCGATGCAATAAACGCAAATGAAGGAAACACATTTGAGACGTAACCAGATCTTTTTTTTTTTTTTTTTTTTTTTTATTACGCAAAATGAAAATCCTCTCGTTCGATCGAACGCGCCACCTGCGCGCCAATCTGCATCGTCAACAAAGTTCTTCGATTTTTCATCAGGTTGAAATTAAATAGGAAATACGTACGCGAGATAATTACAGTAAAACTGTAAAACGCATTAACGTGTGAATAATTGGGTAGCGTTTCAGATATGAATGAAGCTCGTCAAGTCCTTCGTGTATATACGAGTACATATGCGTTGCGTTGTATCGGATTTCCTGGAAAATGCACTTCGCAAGATGAAATTCTCGAAAAAAAAAAAAAAAAAAAACCAGAGAACACACGGGTTAAGAGCTGTAAGCAGGTTTCAGCTTCTCGCTTCTACTGTACACGTAACAGCACAACTGTCCTCCTAAACAATTAATCGGGTCGGATTGCCGATCTTAATAGCAGATTAATAGGTGACCCATTATTCAATCCCAGTTGCGTCTCCCGCGCGCCACTCGACTGGAATTCGTTGAACCAAAACGGGCTGCTCGCCGAGTAATATCGTGCCGAGTCGAATTAATCGTCGTTCAATTGCAGATCACGTGGATCGACGGGCTGGGCAACGTGCTGCACAGGGGCATCAAGACGACGAAAGAACTGTTCGACGACGGCCCGTTGTACACGGTGAAGTCCATCCTGAGGGTGATGCCGCGCAAGGACCACGACAACACGACGTTTACGTGCCAAAGTCAGAACGCGGCCGACCGCACGCCGCAGAATGCGAAACTGCGCGTCGAGGTAAGTGAAAACGCGACGGAGAGCTGGGCCATCATTCAGCTTTCGAGGGTAATTTTCGCGCATTTCTCAAACGAGCAGAACCGAAAGATTACAACACGAGATTAATGTCGCGTCTCGCGAAAACTGATCCGTCGCGGAGAAGCTAGCGAACTCTCGGACTCGGTACGTGGTTTCTGCGCTTTCTTTCCCCCACTGACAATGGCAACTATACGGTTTCAGTTTCTTCTTCAGTACGACCGACGTCCGAGTACGACAAAGGAAGAGCCCGCGTTTCGAAAGTTTCCGCGCGGACGTTAATGATTCACAATGACGGGGTCGTAATTCTTCCGTCCGTGTTTGTCGCGGGCTGTGCGTGAGCACACGAAGCTACCAAACTGCAAACGTTGCCGGTCGTTACCCGTTGCCGCGCGCATCATTTACTTAGCGACTTGTCACCGCGCGATATTAATTGTCGAGAAATTACGTCCGACGAGGGAGAATAAAATGGAATGCCGCGGTCTGTGGCATTCGAGAGAGAGAGAGAGAGAGAGAGAGAGAGGGAGAGAGCGTCACGCGAGCGAGCCGGAGTCGATCGATCGCGCGACGACGATGGTCATGAAAATTTGAGCATCGGCTCGCGTGACGTTTCGAGCATCCCTCTCCCTCTTCCCTCACTCCGCCCGCAAGCGAGTCGCTCGTTCGACGCGATGTTCCACCAACTCTAGCGCTTCGTATCTCGTGTTTCAGGTACGCTACGCGCCGAAAGTGTCTCTGAGAATCCGGTCGGGCCTGGGCAAGAACGGCCGCATCGTCGAGGGCAGCGAGCTCCGCTTCAAATGTCGCGCCGAGGCAAATCCACCGAACGTCGAGTATAGGTGAGTGGAAAACGCGCGAGTAACGCGACCGCTTCGCTGCCTCTGTATTCCTGCAGTTCTCTCTGTGTTCCTCCGTTCCCCGTTTGCGCAAGAGGCGCAAACGATAGCCCCCTGATGATCGATATCCTGTACGAGAGCGCTACTCGTCGAATTTGGAGC